AAGTACTTCTGCCCCATTAGCTCAACTATCTTTGCACAGTTTGAGCTGTTTTCCGTAACACATGACAGCGGGTCCCACTCTGGAATGGAGGTTTCATCATCTAGCACATGTACAGCTTGATGGTCACTTTCATTCACAGCTGTAAGCTGCTTTGCCATTTCACATAATTCAGCCAACCCACAGCCAATGTGTCCAGGAACAGCATTCTTCCTGCAACTGGGTTCTGCAATAGTGCGGTGGAGAAAACCACTTTTGAGTCCTTCTTGGACTAAATGCAATGTGCCTTCCCAAATGAGCTTCCTGACCTGTGTGACCATAAAGAAAGAAGGGAAAAATAAATTATCTTTCACGTATCTACTTGATCAGGGAATGTGATAGAAATCAAAACATTTCCAATCTGCAGAGTGGGAAAAGGATCTTTGCCAAATACTGAGACCACTAACTCAAAAGGTCCAATAGTAATGATAATAAGGCCATGCTAACTTTTGCTGTTGGTTTGAGGGTTGTTTTAACAAAGTTACAACAATTAAAAGTCTGGAGAAAGAAAGAGTGAGATACTACAGAATAAAGTGTTTCACAGACAGAGGAAGAATATTATTGTTCCAAAAAAATATAACTTTCAAGGCAATGATCTGAAGCAAGTTAAAATTCTCATTTAATTTGAAGTTACTGTGCTCATAAACACATTTTTGAGAGGTAAGTTGGGATCAAAAAGTCAGTATTTTTTCACATTTTAATTCACTTTGAAAAACAATAGTTTATGCATTTTAAAAGTAATACAGAAGTACAATCAGCAAATAAAATTATAATAACTTGGTTTTGCAAATTTTCTAAGTAACATACCTCTCAAATAATCAGCCAGTGAGTCCAGCACAACAAAATTACTGGATCTATAAACAGTCTCATTCCCTTCATCACCTTCCCTTTCCAGAACCTTCCCTTAGAGACCTAGTTTATCCCCATGTCACTGAGCCTTTACGAGCTGTAATTATCAATGAGGCATTATTATTCACTTAGAAAAGCAACAGTCCCAGGTACAAATACTTATGATTTCTAAAGCTCCTGATTATGGAATGCTCAGCTTCACAAGACACTTTTATAAAATACCCTTTATTACAATACCCAAATTAATGGTGAGGAAATTTTAATTATTTCTTTAATAGCACTACCATATAGGTATCTGATGGGACAAAGCAGTAGCTTTTTAGTATCTAGGTTTGTGACAGGAAAAGTTCATACTGCTTTAACAAAATAAATGTCTATTTATAAATGCTACAAGTTGTACAGCTGAATTAATGCAGATAGCTTTTCTTTTACACTCATGTTAATTCACAGGTGGACAAAGCCTCTTAACTATCAAGCAGTAGTTTTAACAAATGGCTGCTGAAGGAATTTAACATCTTTTCTACTGTTTCCTATGTTGATTCTGACTAAAGTTCATAAATGGATTCAATGCATACTTACAGTGGCAGACACAAATTTGGGCTTTTTTTTTTTTTTTCAAATGATTCTGAAGATATGAGTCAGTACCAAAATAATCTGAATGGACTTGCAGAGCTACAACCTTTAACACAAGTACAGTAAAAACCAATACATTCTAATCTGAGAATAGTATCAGAGGCTGACTGGGACCACAGATTTTTCAAAACAGTGTCTTCTTTGCATATTCACTAAAAATCATTTGAAGTTACACAGGCCTCCAAGACATCAAGCTTCTCTTCATTGTTCCCTTATTCCTACTGTTGAAGGACTTTATTTTAGCTTAAAGATTTTCATACTTATAAACCTGCTTTTGATGTTGAACTTCTGCTTGCTCCTTTAAGGCCATTCCTGCACATGCATGGCTATTCACAACAACTACAGGACCTCTACACTGTACTATAGCAAACTGTACATGTTTATTATAAAACTTTTGCCATGTAAAAGAAGAAAAATTTAGTCATTTAAATATACTCCAAGAGGAACAGAATTAAACAAGAGGCCCAATATGACTAACACCTTTGATGCATTCTTGCCGCTTTCTGAAATAGTGTGAACTTCCTTTCTGACAAACATCATCTACAGATTACACTTCCAGGATTTACTAACACAGCTCAGTTTAATTCAGTTGTAACTTCACCAGTACATCACAGACATAAGACTAAATAGAGACCTGAATTCTAATCCATTCATGATACTTTAGTATTACAATGTAAAATGTTGGGGGGGGGGTGGGGCAAGAGAGGGGGAAGGGAATAAAATTTTTTCTCATTAGCAGAATGAGACATCTAGGAGTACATTTGGTCAGAGAAGCTTTGAATAACTTCAGCACACTGTCCTGATACACTAAAGGTGCATCAATCTTCAAACACACTATGCTGTTTATTTCAAATTAGTCACTTTCCGTTCAACTAATACACAACTTATCACTATCATATCATCGAATACTTATTCTATGGGTTGGAAAGCACCTTAAGATCACCTAGTTCCAATCCCCCTGCTATAACAGTAAAAGATACTTTGCGAATGCAGATTTCAGCTCTCTGAACTGTCTTAGTCGCAGCTAAGTCTAGTTCATTTCACATACATCTACACGGAAGACAGTTTCTGTAAGCCCTTATTCATTTAAGGACTAGAGAGTTGACCTTACCATTAGTGGAATAAGCTACAAGAACAGAACTTGTTTGCAACCACATGCTGCACTCTGTACATGCCCAAAGTCAGATGTCATGTGTCTGCAAATTATACTTCAGTTCAGACTTACCTTTGAATGGTATTGTAAAGCATCCAGTTCACCTTGGTTGAATACACATTTCCTTTTACGTTTCTGCACAAAGAGCAAACAATGAAAAAAAAATATTACTCCACAATGAAAGGAAAAAAATAATAAAATAGAAATGAATTACAGGCAGAAGAATTACATGTTTTTCTATCACAACTCCAATAAGCAAAAATACTATCTCAAAATACCTCATCTGCTGTAGGCGTTCTCAAGGTACATAAGCCTAAAGCTGTGCTATGTTACTCACGGCACTGGGATCTGAACATACCTAGCACATGCACAGTTCACATTCATACCTTCTTTGGGTCCATACTTGAAGGTATGGGCTTCAAGTGCAGCTTACCAGTAACAGAAGAAAATTAGTTACATCTTCCGGATTACATTTGTTGGTTTAGATCTGCCACACTTTTTTGTCCAACAGTACTGAGCAATCTACATACTTATAGTAAATTCATACTGTCCTTCCCTTCTTGTTAATCTGCACAATCTTGACACCTACCACAGTTTCAGCTCAAGTGCCTGACCACAGCCAACATCAGAAGATTTTGTGAGCAACACACTGCTTCTGCATCAAAGGATGCATATTACTGACATAAGGGACACAAGAATACCTTTGTGAGTGCTTGTGAGAGATTTTTTTCCATGCATCTTGAAATCTATGGCGGAAAAGTTCCTTATCTCCTACATAATCTCAGGAAACTGAAGTGTGCAAGACAGTGTTAGTGGTATGTTATTTACCAAGGGGTTACTGTAGCTTACTGTATTATGGAGAACATACCTTCCTAGCACTGACAACAGAATCTCCGACACCACTCTTGGTTTCTGCTTGGTGTTCCCCTCTGCTGCTGCTGGCCTTTAGTTCTGTGAGACTTGCCTCAGGGCACCCCTGCCACAGCTGCTCCTCAGGAGCTGCAGCTATATGGGGCTTAGAAACATCAAAGAATTCCTCTCGGAACGTGTATCTTGTTTTTGCTGGTTTACCTTCTGTTTCTATCGCATCTCCAAGACCAGGAACAGGACCATCACTTGAGGAAGTGGCAGCAAAGGTAGAAGTAGGATGACAATCTCTAGTAGATATGACAGAAGTATTGAGAGTGACACCATCAGGGTATGCAAAGGAGTCACAGATCTCATAGCCACACTGGTTGATGAAAGACAGATGATCCACAAGCCACCCAGCCGTCAGTCGATGTACCACGGACATCATGGCTCCTGTTTTCAAGAAGAAAAATCAACTCCTTGAAACTGTAGCTGGCAATCACATGTGCTTCCTGGCGCAAACTCCTCCTGTGGGAAGTTTTTACAGAGTTCACTTTTCAGAATTACCATTGTCTAATAATGCAGCACTTATCTCCTGACAGGCATTTCCATGCGCACTCAGCACATGGTGTAGGAACTTCTGCCTTTATCTGGTTTCCTAATTGTTGCTTCTGTTCTATCTTTATTCCACATTTTTACAGTTGACAAGTTTTTTAAAAAGTCCCTATGACTTTATACAGCACAATGAACTTGAAGATGACCCTCTTTTAACAAGTTAGAAAGCAGCAATAAGGCACAGCAGCTGCACAGACCAGGAATTCACACGGCAGCGCCCAGAGCAATAACACAAGCCCGGGGACAGCCGCCGCCCCAGCGCGACAGAGGCCGGGCCACAGTGCCCGTACCCGCGCGTACACTGGAACCGGGAGCTCGGTTTTGCCGGAACCCCCTCCTCGCCGCCACATCCCACCGCAGTTCGGCAGGACGAGCAGCCTGACAGCGCAGTTACCCTCCTTACCGCCGCTGGGTTGATGAAGCCGCTAAAGGCTCATTACGGCGGTGAGTAGAGAAGGGACTACCTTCCATTCTTGCCCCTCGCTGTACAGGGAGAAAAACACCAGAACTTATCACCGCACAGCAGCACCTCAGCCTCTTACCTTCACTGCTCCGCCACACCTGAGCGCCTCCATCTTGCTGTACGGCCACGACCTTTCCCCCTGAAGGCTTCCGAGGGAATCCGTCAGTGTGCGTGTGAGAGGCCAGTCAAACGGAAGTGACACACCACTCTCCATGTCTCTTCACCCGTTACCCTTCTTCGTCGCTCCTCTATGACATAGGCGTTGCGGCGCGCTAAGTGACGTCGTCGGCGGGTGCATTTGAAATCGAGGGGATGCCTTAGGCGCCGCTCGCCGTAACGGTCGGGTTGCTGTGACGGGATTCTCTGTGGTGCAGGCCTTCCTCACCGAGGAGAATAGGGCCGCGCCGCGCACTGGGAGAAAGCCGGGGCTTTAGGGAGTCTGGTCCCGGCTGCGGCGAGTGTCGGGGTGTTGGCGTGTAAACGCCGCTAGCTTCTCTGTTAGCCTTTGATCCGGATTAAACGCGCTGTTAATGCAAGTGGAAGCCGTTGGGTCCAGTTCTGCCGTGCTCCTTCCTTATTTTCTGCTGACGTGTGGACTAGCAAGCTGCTCTTAAACCAGCCATTTGGTATGTTTGTGAAGACAATTTACTGTCTGCTTTGCGTCCCTGGTAAAGGAATGGGAGAACGTAGATTCTTTTATGAGGTCGTGGGTAAGCCACTGTGTGAAATGGGCCTAAGCTAAACTGTCATGGATTGAGAACTAGAAGTGGAACTAGAAATGTGATTGTGTAAACACAATTTATATTGATAATGTGTTCTGGTAATGTTTGTAATGAAGGCTTTTTTTTTGATTACTTATAATTCAATCACCTGAGCCCATACCAAACTAGATACTCTGTAGAGGGCAAAAGTTGGCATTTTTTTCAAAATTAACTCTACCTCAAAATTCCACTTAATGCCACTCTGGGGACAGTTCAAGGCTTCCAGTTTGATTTCTATTTTGTGTGGGTAGTCTGAAGATAGCCATAATGCTCTATCCCTGGCAGTGTTCAAGGCCAGGTTGGACAGAGCCTTGAGCAACCTGGTCTAGTGGGAGGTGTCCCTGTTCATGGCAGGGGGGTTGGAACGGGATGATATTAAGGTCCTTTCCAGCCCAACCCATTCTATGATTCTGTAATGTTATTTTAGAATAGGCTTTCTAGTCATTGTGCTATGATATCGTGAGATCATTTTGCAAAATCAGTAAGCAGGCTCAGAATTAGGGTCTAAGGAATAAATGAAATGTTAGGAACAGTCGTCATTTTAACATGGCTTTCCTCCCAGCTGATTAGACTGAAAAACTTCTTAAGCCGTTTTGCTTTTGGACCTTTGTAGGCTAGAAGTTACTACAGATGAGTAAAGGCAAAAACAGTAGGTTTTCAACCAGCACTGGCACTTTTATCAATAAAATAACTAATTTGAAAGGCTGTGGCTGCTGCTATACAGTTCTGGAGAGAGATACATGCTTTTTGTGTGTGTGTTAATTTATATTTTTTTTAGGAGAACCTAATATTTTTTTAAACTGTTAACACTAGCTGGTCCAAAGTACAGTTCTATTTGTTTGTTTTGCTCCTTTCTAAAGTCATTGTGATGATTAAAAAAGTAAATATTCTTGGATCCTGCATTTTCTATTACTGATAGGTTTTGATTTACAGTTTAGTCACAATGAGACGAAGCTCAAGTATTGCTGGCAGTGCTGGTCGGCAGTCTATGATGGCACTGCGAGTGCAGGACAGCAACAAGATGGGTCTTCAAACACCTCAGATGTAAGTGTTGCTTATCTTGCTAAGAATAGGGATATAAAACTAAGTCTAAAGAGATTTACTGTAGTGTGTTTCGGTGTCGAAGTAGCAGCTGAAAAAAAACAAACAGCAAAAAGAGAACTTTCTGCAGCTAAGGACATTTGCACAAGTGATCCAGTTCTGCAAAAAAAAAAAATCTTTAATCTATTTGTATACCCATGATACATCTCAAATTGTAACACTTTTCTATGTATATTTCTTTAGAGGTGGCTGGGGGGGAGGGCATGTGTATGAAATGTATACTTGCATATCTTGCAGAAGAAGTCATGATTTATTGACAAATAATGCATTACGATCAGTTGGCTTTTCTGAGATGCTGATATGCTGAAGATGCTTAGGCTTATATACATGTGTTTATAGTTTTCTTACATGAGCAAAAGGTGAAATGGTAGAAATATTCACTTGACTCCTTCTCCCTATCCCTCAGGAAGGACAGAGGTATGTTTGGGAAGCTGAGCATGAGCAAACCTACACCTGGGACTTCGGAAAGGAAAGTCAGCTTTTTTGGCAAGAGGTATTAGGAGCTTTAGATCTCTGTAGTGTAAATTAAAACAATAACACTCCCACACCATTTTGTATTCTTTCTCTCTTGATTGCTTTTCATTACAGCGAGTGATGGACCTTAGGCAAGCAACTCTTCAGGTCTGCCATCCTCCATTCTTTGATCACTAAACAATGATGTGGAGTAGGAATTGCTCTGAGAGCTGTTCTTCCTCTTGGGAATGATAAGCATTGGAGACCTTAAGAGATCATCCATACACTTGCCTGTTTAAGGAAGAACAGTGTCTTCAGTACACTCTGCTTTAGGTTCTCCTAGTTTCTGAGATGCAAACCTTCCAAAGTCTATAATCTCTCAGCTTAGTTTATGGTTTTCTGTGTTCTGGTCTCTTGCAAGGATATTCTTTCGTAGGACACTGCTGTTGCAGGGAACTACTCCTTTTAAATATTCCTTAAATGCTTTAGTCTTTATATTTTGTTCAATAAACTGAAGAAAATATTCACCTAGGATGCAGTAATACCTCTGTTGAATGTGTGCAGCATTGATTCCAGGTTCCTGTTGTTTTTCCAGTCATCACAGGGAGAAACTTTCAGGCATCCCTTTATATAACAGATGCAAAAGAAACATAAAAATAGCAATTGGAGTGACTTAAATACTTACGGAGTCCTTTATTTGTATTGTCACAAGAACTGTATCTATTTTTTGTTCTTAGAACTAGTGGGGTTGGAGGCTCACGCAACAGTCAGTATGGTGTGTTTGGTACAGAAAAGATCAAGGATCCCAGGCCACTTCATGACAAGGCATTCATCCAACAATGTATCAAGCAGCTTTGTGAGGTACTTTTAAACTTATTCTAAATGTATGTTGTTAGGCATAAAAGATGCTAATCAGAATATTTTTTTCATGGTTTCAACTTTAGATTTTTAGTGACTAATATGCCATGTTTCTTTCAGTTTCTTGCTGAAAATGGTTATGCCCATAATGTTTCCATGAAATCGTTACAGTCTCCATCAGTTAAGGACTTTTTAAAAATCTTCACTTTTATCTATGGATTTCTTTGCCCTTCTTATGAATTGCCTGACTCCAAATTTGAAGAGGAGGTTCCCAAAGTTTTTAAAGAGCTTGGGTAAGATTATTATTATTAGTCTGTTATGCTAAATAGATATGACACAGCTAGAAAATTAAAAGCTAAGAATTCTGCATGATAGCTGGGGAGAATGCATAGGCTTCATTATTCTTCTGAAACTACAATGTTGTGATTACTTTGTTTAATTTTTGTTTAGCTCCAAATTTACTCTCTGGAGTAACTGATTCTCTGATTCTCACTTTACGCTTTGTATTTGAACATGCAGAACTTCAGGTTGCTGGAAGCTTGCTTTGAAATGTAAAATCTAATTATTTGTCTTTATTTCTTTTAAACTTTGAAAGACAGACACAAATCTTCTACTCTCTTGAAGGGTTCAAGGCCAGGTTGTATGGGGCTTTGAGCAACCTGCTCTAGTGGCAAGTGTTCTTGCCCATTGCAAGGGGGTTGGAACTAGATGAGCCTCAAGGTCCTTTCCAACCCAAACCAGTCTATGATGCTATGAAAAGCTTTTTAACAGACTGTTCTGGTTCATTCTGTTAAAATCAAAGAACTAAAAAAAAAAAAAACACTACCAGTTTCAGAATGTTTGATTAGTTAAAAATAACTTTTCCTGTAATTTCTCTGTACGCTTTTGAAGCGGAGAGTAGAAATAATAAAAATGACCACTGAGGTAAAAAAAAAACACTAAGTAGCTGGATGTTGTAATCTCATTCAATAAGTGTTTGGAATCAGTAATGCACCAACACTTTCCAAGAAAGAAAATCCTCTGTTTGTTGATCATGGTGAATTTTTAGGTCTTATTAAAACAAGTGAAGTGTAATTTGCTAGTGTAAATTCAAGCCCATGATGGTGTCAAAGCACCAGGACTCCTTAGATATAGGTATAAATCTGTTCTGTTCACTTATTGGTATTTTAATAAAATCTGGGTTTAACCTATAACATTTGAAACTGCTGACCTAGCCGAGATGTTGAAAAGGAGGTTGTTCTCAAGAGGCTTCACTCTGCTGCGCCAAGAGTATAATCCTCCATAAAAAGGCTTGTTTTGAGACCTCACTTTAAGTTTTCTTTTGAAAGCTAGAAAACAGACTTAAGTAATTAATTTTTAAAGATTTTTAGCCAGAATGGCTTGTGAGCACTTATTTATAATTATCAGTTTATCAGTAGCTTCCTGTTCTATGTTCTTAAAACAATTTTGGGCAGCAGTCAGTCTAAAGACAGAATGAAGTCTGCACTTCTGTGCTCCTTAACAAACAGAAGATTGAGATCATCTCTGTAATTAGCATGTTGCATGTTTTTAGCATGTTAATACTTTGATATGCAACTGTTCTAAAATTTATTTCTGTAATTGCATGACATTAAGCTGATAAACAGCTGTTTTGTTTTCAAAGTGCCTTAGACCCCAGAAGCAAGAATCTTGCCCTCTAACAACAGGACTCCTGTGTCTCAATTTGTTTTCATATGTTAATAAATCTTCCAGGCTTGCACACCTATTTTGGAAGTCTAAACATCATCTATTGACTATTACTTCCTCCCTCATGTTTGCCTGTCCTTTGAGGTCTTTGTCGCATCATGAATCACCTCATGCTTACAGGTTACCCACTCCTTCTTCCTTAGTACTGCAGTGTCCAGCCCTCCTCTGTAAGAGAGGCTAAGGAGTGTATGAAGGGACTAAGGACTGTGTGAAGGAATAGTTTACATTGCTTTTGTATGAGGCCTTAATTGTTCCTAATCTTTAAATATGCAAAAGTCCATTTTTTTCAATCATTTCCTCGATAGTGAGCCAGTAGAGGGAGGTGATTGTCCCACACTGCCCTGCCTTTAATATTGTGTGCAGTTTTGGGTACCTCAATATAAGAAAGGCATCAAACTATTAAAGTGCGTCCAGAGGAGGGTGGCCAAGATGGTGAAAGACCTTGAGGGCAAGACTTATGAGGAGCAGCTGAGGTCACTTAGCCTGTTTAGCCTGGAGAAGAGAAGGCTGAGGGATGACCATTGCAGTCTACAGCTTCCCCAAGAAGGGCAGCAGAGGGTGAGGTGCTGATCTCCCCTCTGGTGACCAGCAGTGATACACAAGGAAAAGGAATGAAGCTGTGTCAGGGGAGGTTCAGATGGGAAATTAGAAATAGACTTTTCACCAAGGGGACTGTCGCTTACTGGAACAGGCTCCCCAGGAAAGTGGTCACAACACCAACACTGTCAGAGTTCAAGGAGCATCTGGAAAATGCTTAGTCATATGGTTTAGTTTTAGTAGTCCTGCAAGGAGCAGGGAGTTGGACTCAATTCTTATGGGTCACTTCCAACTTGAAATATTCTTTGAATTACAAAATAAACCCATGGTAATTGAATAAAATAGTGTTGTAAGAACTTGGCTTACCTCCTTTGATGTACAGTATAAAGTACAGTTGAGTTTGTTCTTCATCTGTGCATTGATCTACATGTAAGTTGTTGTTTTCATGTCTACTTGTTTATCACTGTTTGCCACAGCTATAAAAAATGTATTTTCTTTGGCCTTGTAGGTACCCCTTTGCTTTGTCAAAAAGCTCCATGTACACAGTGGGAGCACCACACACTTGGCCTCAGATTGTGGCAGCTTTGGTGTGGTTAATTGATTGTGTCAAGGTAACATTTGTCCTTTTTAAGCCAAATGTTTCCACATTTGGGGCTGGAATGTTTGTTTCAATACAGATCTCTTAAATGCTTTCTAAGTATTTCTTTGATATTTATATAAAGGAAAAAAAGTAGATGTTCTTACCTGCTGTCTGGGAGCTAGTCCTTAGCCTTACTTTTAGTATTGAGTTTTTAATGTTAAGTTACAGTGTTTTTTAACTGTGTGCAATGGATAAATTTGTGTATGAGAGAGGTGGAGGGAGATGATAACTTACATATAAAAATGTGAGAAGGTAATGGGTGTATTCATGAATCTTCAGTGCTTATCATCTTGTGAGATCTGCCATCTTCTCCTACATTTGCAATCTAAAGATGAAATTTTCAATAGCAATTATTCAAGTGTTCTGCGATCATTTTACAGAATGGGGTAGGTTTATTTGGGAGCAGGTTTTTTGTTTTCTAAAGTGTTAACTCTGCTGCTGCCAGCTCAGGTCTGAGCAAAATTTGGAATCTGTGACAAGTTCACTGCTGAATTGGTCACACGTAAAAATACCATCTTTTATGCTGAAAAGATACATTTGGCTTAGTAAGGCAATTTGTCAGTGTTGAATTTGGAGTTAATGTCTCTTCGCCTTTTAAGTCAACTAAACACAGGTTTATACCCTGATGTGATTGGTCACATTCTGAAGCAGCATCTTTACACCCACTTGCTGAAATCCTAATCCAGTGTTACTCTGCTTCTTATCATGAACATGAAACTAATATGAAAAATAATGGAAATCTTTACACTTGCTCTTTGTATGCACCTGTGCCTTTCAGCTGTATGCTGCTGTGAGGGAAAATGCGCCATCATTTGATGACGGACAGAACAGGGGAGGAGAGACAGATGATGGAATTGTACATAGTAAGGTACCATGGTTATCAGAGCTGTTCAACTGAATTTTTCCATATGCTGTAACAACACAAATATGAGACAACAATTTTATCTGAATTTATACATTCTGTTCTGATTTATATTCACAGAGTTCTCTAGGAAGTATACTATCATCATATAAAAAGCCTGATCAAGTAGTTTAACAGTGTAAAGACAGTGACTTCATCATAAATTTGGTGGTTCTTGCAGATACCTACTCAGTTCACCATTTAAAAATCGGTTGTAATATTTAATTTTCAAGCCACAGAATAAGGTGGCAATGTAATTCAGGCACTTAAAATTTTATCTATCAGCTTGCTTTCTGTCAGATTTATCATAGATTATTAGTACTACTCAGATTTAACTCTGGGTCAGCCCACAACAGATGTTTGGAAGGGATTATATGATGTGCCAAAAAATCAAATTGTAATTTTGGACTAAGGTTACAAATCTAAAAGTTGACAAGTAAAAATGATTTAAAACTAAATGTGTGCTTATACCCTGATACATATGCACATATGTTGAAACAAAATTTACAATACTGTTGTAATTGCTTCTGAAAGATCTGTAATTTAAAGTCTCAAGTAAATTCTTGCATAACCTTTCTTTAATTCTAGATCGGTACTCTTGACATCTGCATATCTCAAGTATAGTGGTCATATTTAGGTTTGTTAAACAGACCTACCATTTTCATAAACTAGCATGAAAGCATCATATGCTTCAAGATAATAAATTCTTAAATGTTGTATCTACTGTTATTGTTAGGTACTGCAGAAAAATGTATCGAGTATTTCCAGACCTTTCTTAATGTGAATTCTAGATGTTGCCTCCTGCCAGGATATAATCTGTTGACATTCTATGTTTTAAGGGAGGGAAAAATGTTGAGGTTTTGGGCGGTTTTTTGTTTTTTTTTTGTTTTTTTGTTTTTCTTAATGGAACTGCGGTCAAACCAGTGAAAGGTATTTTTGATGGCAGTTCAGTCCCATTGGTTGAGTAGATTTAGACTACATAGATATTTTACAGCCCTCTGAATTGTTGAAATGAAAACTTTTTAAACTGTTTTCAGGTTTTCATGGATTATTGTGTGAAGTGCTACGAGCAATTCATGAAGGGGGGAGATACTTTTGAAGAATTGGATGCAGAAGTGCAGTCAAAATTAAGTAAGTTTTCATGTTTTAATGAAGTGTTTGTGTTACTGGTTTCTTTCCTCCTTGTAAAGTGAGCAAAACTGCTGCAAGTGAAAGTAATCTGAAGTAGGGGAAGCCAAAATTCCAAAGTACTCTGACTCAGTTTTTTTTTAATGCATTTTTACTATTTTGGACAGATGGGTCATGCTCTACTATCAGCTATATCTGTACAATCCTGTTGTTTTCATGGCTTTGTGACATGCACAAAGCAGTATAGAGTTCTTCAGATACAAATACCATTTATGTAGATGTTCTTGTCTGTCTGACAAAATTAACAGTTAAAAAAGAAAAATATTACCAGAGGGTGCACATTTGATGAGTAAGGAAGTTCAGCTTCTAAAAGCTCTGAAAACAGCTTGTAAGTCTTCCAAACTCTGTTGTTAAGGTTCCCGTGTATGATTCACCATGCAGCCATGCTTATCCTCAGGGAGATGGAAAAGTATTAATTTTTTTTTTTACTTATTCATTTCATCACCTACAGAAATGAAAACAGAACATGAGAACAAGGAGAAAAAGTAGTTCTTGCTTTGTGGCCTACTATGAAAAGCCAGACTAAGGACACTTCTATTGCACGCTGTAGTCATCAGTTGGAGAGATTACAAGCTACCAGATTGTTGCTAGATATTAGTAGGAAAAAGTAGACATGGCATTGTTTAGCAAACACTGAAGGAAGTAAGGGAAAAAGATATCTCAAGAGGCAGGGAAGTATGTGAATGAGAAAGGAGTATACAAATCAGCCTACCTTCTAAACCTGGAATAGATGGAACTTACCTAACAAACACTATCTTGTACTGTGGGCTATATGACAGTTTGGAAACTGATCTCACATGAGCGATTTTGACCTCTTAAGAAATAAGTTTTTCAGTCCTCACTTTGTATCTTGTTTGTTTGGGGGTTTTTGCCTATTTGCTTTGTAATGGAAGTCTGTGGTTTTTCTGATGGCTTTGTTAGTTGCTTCGGTTGGGTTCGTTTGTTGGTGGTTTTGTTTCCTTAAAATAATTGTCCAGATAATAGGTATTTACTGAGCTGAAGCTAAAGCACAGATAATCAGATTAGGTGATGATTTTCAGTGACATTAACTTGTAACTTCCATCTTCTTTTCCACCTCCCCAGAGGATCTATTTAATATAGATGAATTCCAGATAGAAAGTTTAGCAGCTGACAACAAAAGGCTTCATGAAGAGATTGCAAGACTAGAAAAAGAGAAGGAAAATGAGCCGGTTAGTAAAATGTGTCTATACTTGTTTATATGGTGGAGTTGCATTTTCTGTTATTGACCACTGTTGATTGTTGTTAAGCAAAAATGCTGATGATATATTAAAAAAATGGAAAATTATTATCAGTGCTCTAAGAGATTTTAATTAGGCTAGGTTATTACAGACTCTATACCATTGTAGTACAAGGTATTTACTGTGGAATTTTCAGTCACTGATATTATGCAGGTATTTTCAGTTAACAAAATCTTACATTGATTGAAATGTTAATAAAATAGTTGAACCACCTTTTTTTTTTTTTTCCTGAACTTCAACATTATTTCTTCAAAACATGTTGGTATGAGAACTCCTTAGGGGTCAGAAGAACTTTTTATAAGAACAAGTAGTAATACAACAAAAGGTAGTGGCCTCAGACTGAAAGAGGGTAGATTTAGATGAGATATTAGCAAGAAACTCTTCACTATGGGTTTGGAGAGGCACCGGAACAGGTACCCAGAGAAGCCATGGCTGCCCCGTCCCTGGCAGTGTTCAGGGTGAGGTTGGACAGGGCTTTGAGCACCTTGTTCTAGTGGAAGGTGTTCCTGCTCATGGCAGGGGTTGGAACTGAGTGATCTTTAACAATTCCATTGACTCAACAATAACAATATATTTTAGGGAAAATTTCTTGTTTGAAAAGTTGGATTCTGCTTTTTAATACATCAGGAGTTCAAAAATGCTGTAGTGGCTGTGCAGCTGGCTAATTGAGACTCCTGGCTACTGTGCAAAAAGTGCTGCTTGTGTTCCCAGCTTCCTGTAGATTTCTGCCCTTTGTGTATTATTATACTTAAGCTGTGAATTACCTGTAGTAAGAAATTTATTAATGCAATGCCTGATGCAAATCAAAGACTAAACATAGGAACTAAGGTACAAACCATATTTTCAAACATTTTTATTGTTTAAAGATGCTTAACTTAACTCTGCTGTCACAGGTAAAATTTATTAAAGTTCTTTAATTTTATGTTTATACTATTGAAGTTGACCAATTAACTTATTGTCTTGTCTGGAAAGTAAGATCATTATTTTAGATTAAAGTAATAATGGCTGTTCTTTCAATCCGTTTACTAGGATCGTAGAGTATCACTACGAAATGTGAAAGCATCTCTTCAATCAGATGTCCAGAAATACCAGGCTTACTTAGCTAATCTGGAATCTCATATAGCCATCCTTGATCAAAAAAAGGAAGGTGTGAATGAGGAAGTTGAGACAGCAGGTAAGAAGGTTTTGGTCACAAATGCAATAGTGACGCTAGAAATAGGTTTAAAATAATTGTAAATCTCAGTGTCACAACAGAGAGATACTTAGTGTGTGAAAATGGCACAAATAACTTTGCAAAATGGATTGCTAGTAGAGACTGGTTTTTGGCTGATAGCTGCTTGTACACTGGACTAATGACATACGGTTATTTACTAATAAAAATACAGAGAGATGAAGTTTAACTATATAGGCTGGTATTTTACATACATTTAACAAATGTTTTGTAAACTTAGAAATGGAATTAGAAGCAATGAAGCAGGAGAATGCCCGGCTCCAGCACATCTTTGATAACCAAAAGTACTCAGTTGCGGACATTGAGAGAATAAATCATGAGAGAAATGAGTTGCAGCAAACCATTAACAAGCTGACTAAGGAAGTAGAGGCAGAAGAACATCAGCTGTGGAATGAAGAGCTGAAATACGCTAGGAGTAAAGAGGCGGTATGTGAAAACCCTATTACACTGAGAGGTGGTTATCAGTTTTCATCATACAAGCTTAAACCTAGGACTTGGACTATTGCTAACGTCTTTCCTAAGTAATCTTAACAGCAGCATAGATGTGTCTTAATAGCCTAAAGTGACAAGAATGGCTTCTCTTTACAATCTTGCTGAAAAAACACGAGGTGTTTGTTTTTTTGTGTTCCCCCCGTTTCTGTTTTGAGCATAATGGAACTGTATTCTTTCCTTTTTTTTTTTTTTGCCTGCATCGTAACGATGCTAGAATATGCACCACTGTCAGGTCTCACTGTTAAGGCATCAAGAACTTTTATAACATTAGCAGTTTCAGGCTAATATTAAAATATCATGCCAAGGAAATAATGCAAAATTAGAGCTTTAAATCAGTATCCACATGCATTTAGGACTAGATTGATCCCTTCTATGGAAGGTCTAGTAGATTTTAAGGGACAAATTCAGTTCCCTCAGATGAAAAGATGTGGGCCTGTAAGTGGTGGGATTTAAAAGCTTCTGCTTTGCTAGATGGAGAACTAAAGAACTTGCATTTGGCAGGGTTAACTTTTATCAAACACTTGCACAGTATGAAGAATTTAACTTAGTGATACCAAGTATGAAGCACATAACTGTAAAAAATATTTGGGTTTTGGTGTTTTCATGTAAATCGCACTCATTAATCAGAACATAGAGCATTTAATAAGCTTTGGCTAGAGGTGTGCTCAAGTGTTATTAGGATATGTGGCCTTTACTGTCAAAACTAACAAGGAAAGCATATCAACATGATGACTGATCAGTTTTAGTTATTTGTATTATTTTCAAGCATGGTTTTCCTTCCTTGTTAACTAATCCTCAAAAAGCTGAGGCAGGAAAAAAAACAGCAGATGAGTAGGGGAAAAAAAACAGGTGAAACCATTCAGTCTTACCCATATACACTGGAAACCTTCAAGAGCAAATTCTGAAACAATCATAAAACAGCACTTAATCCAAGCAGTGCAAACTGCTGGACTGTCAGTACGTACAGCTTTTGCATACTGTGGCATGACATGGAATCATGTTTCTACACAGCAACTCAGACACCTGTTTAAAGCTCTATATGTATAATTTTTGCAAAGCTTTTCATTTATATTTTCTGTATTATTTTTGACCTTTTCTCCTCTGAATAGATCGAAATGCAACTGGCAGAGTACCATAAACTGGCTCGAAAGCTGAAATTAATTCCAGTAAGTGCTGAGAATTCCAAAGGCCATGACTTTGAGATTCAGTTTAATCCTGATGCAGGACCAAGTTGCCTAGTCAAATACAGAACTCAGATCAAGGTGAGTAGACCCAACACTAAATGTTTCTGTTACCGCTCATAAAAAAAAAAACATTTATTTGGAAATGCTGGAAAGGTCTCTCTTAACCTCTCAATGAAACTTAATTGGAAAAGCTTGTGATGCATTGCCATAATTGCGTTATAATATAGGAAGGAAAATTGCTGTTGAAGGGTGTAGCAGCCTAAATAAAAAAAGGAGAGGGAGGAGATATACTGAGGTACATCTTAGTTCAAACTAAAAAGCTGCATTAACCAGATCTTGTATGTGTATTACAGGGTCCCCTTATGGAGATCATAAACCAGACTGAGGAAGAAATTAGGAAAGCTACTCAGCAGAAAATGGCTTTGGAAGATACTTTGGAACAGGTCTGTTGGTTAATGAAGATTAGGACTAAGATACTGTAATGTCACCTGCTGTTCTCATTTGGCCTTTTGCATGGGTGAAGTGTGGTGTGGTGGGCTGGTTTTTGTTTGGGTTGGTTTTGTTGTTGTTGGGTAGGGGTGGATTTTTTGGGGGGATGGAAGGGGGGTGCTGTGAGAAGATTGCTTTAATTATGGTGGAACCTAAAAGTTTCTGTGAGACTTAGGGTCTCCTGTTGCTTTAAATAATATATATTCCCTGCATTGAAGATTATGCAGTTTACATGTATTTGACCATAAACATTGGAAAGATTTGGTTTTAATAAGTTGCCTGTTCCACTCTGTTGTGTGGCTTACCATCACTGACACATTGTCATGAGGAAGATTTTTAGCAATAGTGGTTTCAGGATGGTTTAAATATTTCTTGGCTACCACGTGTTGCTTGTGATGGCATGGGTTTATATGCTGGAATTCTTTTTGAATTACATTTTCTCAGTCATGTTTTCATTTTAGATGAACGTAATGGTAGCAGACAAGAAAAGCAGTGTGAAAATGCTAAAAGAAGAAGCTGAAAAGCTGGATGATCTTTATCGTCAGAAGCTTAAGGTAGAACTTTTTATCAGTTGATGACAATCTATCCTTGATGTCCTTAATCTTTATACGTAAGTTTTAGGTTTGCATTTTTGTTTGGACTTCTGGCCTTGCCTCGTTGCTTTCCTCTTGCAGGATTCTCTAATTCTTTTCAGAAATATTTCTGTGCTACCTTAAGTGAGTCAGTTTTCACTTTCTTGTAAGAGAATCTGGCATCATACTTCGGCAGATTCTGTAAGTCATGAGCTACTATGTCCAGTAATAAAACTAGTGGCAATCATCTCCTGACCTCAGGATTTCTCAAAGCATGTGCTTGAAGGAAATTTTAGAGTTAACAGAATCTGCCTTGTCTATTCAGCTCATATATAATAAATACAGGTTTTAGTAAACATGTTTAATCACATTAAAAAGTAAGGAAGAAGTTATTTGACTAAAAGCACACTAAGTGTTGTAATAATATAAAACTGTTGCTTTCTTGATTTTGCTCCCCCCCCCCCTGGTGAGGGAGTGGACCCTGTCCTAAGTGGCTGCTTCAGTAGCTCCCAACTATCAGTATGGCTTTGGTGAGGCTGTGGTGCCCAGGAGAAAAATGCTTTTTGAACTAATCTATTGTTTCACATAACTGCTCTTCTAAATCAAATTTGTGAGCTATAACCACAAAACAGGGTTATTTCATTGCTAATATCTGCTTAGGTGGCTGAGGATAATCAATTTCGTTTATACCTGAAACTAGGTTTGGGGGATGTCCTTGTGTTCTTTTCTTAGTTCTGAGTTTGGAGTTACTTGTTTGAATTCTGAATTCAATTATCAGAATGTAATTGGGTAATAGAAATATAAATCCTAATTATTCCTGAGTTATGCAATTTATTTATTTTTTCTCTTATGTTTACAGGAGGCAGAAGAGGAAGAGCAAAAATGTGCAAGTGAACTGGAATTGTTAGAGAAGCATAAGCAATTACTTGAGAGCGGTGTCAATGAAGGTCTCAGTGAAGCCACAGATGAATTGCATGATCTGCAACGAAAGTAAGGCCCATAACTTCTAGTTGTTTGTATAGTTTATTTTGGGATTTATGTGTTCTAAGAATAAAGACATTTTCTTGAATCCTAGCATAAAATTCCTTGCTGAGCTGGTATCCATTTCAGTATATTAATTTCACAAATTCACAGTTGAAAGATTTTTCTCCTCCACATTTACTGTTTTGCTAGAATATTTCTCTGCTGTATCAGAACCCCTGATACCCATGTAATTTTTTTTCCATATATATGGTTGTAGTAAAGAAATCAGTTTGTTTCTAAACTTATGTGACAGCTACATCTTTACAGCCCTACAGTCTGGAAAAACTGTTCTGACTCTAGTCTGACTCTAAGGCACTTTGTTTCTTACTGGTTAGCACAATATGGTACTTTTTCTCCTAACTTGGGTATTAATAAATAAATCTATATCGGTTCAAGTTGAGACTAAAGAAAAAAGTTATGGCTAATGATGACAATATATCAGAGTTGAAGTGATTGTTTTAGATGTCAGGAATTTAATAATTATTGACGTGACTTTGAGTGTCTTTACTTTTCAGGTATCAAGTTGTTCTGCAAACAAAAACAGAAGAGAGAAGGAAAGCTGGTGATAACTTGCATCGTCTTTTGGAAATCATTGCTAGTCATGTACTATCTACAGAGGTAAGCTAAAACTTGATATTCCTAATTAATTCTTTCCAGAAACATCTGCAACTGCAGCTAAATGCACAGAAATTGGAATTTACTCTTTCCAATAAAGTAACAGTTATTTTAGAGCTGCTTCACTGAGTCTGTGGATTCTAATTAAATAAATTTGTTGACAAAACCTTTGGCACAAATAATCAAAACTGATCATTAAATTTCAGCAGTAACATCCTGTCATGTTTAATCTGCTTCTAGCAACTTTCAGTTAAGTGTTTAACTGAAATCACTTAACCTGTGCAACGACTGCTTAAAATGCTTAGCAGAACCAGTTCAATAGAGACCATGATCTAATAAACTTTCTATAACTCTTCTAGAAATATCTTGAGGAACAGAATGTGAAAATTGAGAAAGACCATAAGGAATTCATGTCTGAAGATCTGTTGTCAACCTTGACAGGAATTCTAGACAGTTATAAAAAGAAGGCTGAAAGCCTGTAATTGCCAAGAAGGTGAAGATGAAACTTTCTGAAGCTCTGGTATGGTGCCTTCTGAAAGAATGAGTCTTTCTTGTGTTCAGCAGCAGAACTGGTTTTAAGCGTAAAGAAATGTTTTTATGAATTTCCTTTGTTATATGGGCAAAAATACGTTAAAAAAATTAACGAGTACATTTACATTTTCTTAGAAAAGGCTTTGCTTACACTTCCTCCTTGCTATGTATTAAACATGATTACAAACATCTGTTACAAGGCAACTGTGGAACAACTAAATTTTATTTTTCTTTATAATAAAATCATTTCTCTCCTGGGAACATTAGTAAGATGAGTACTGTTAACTTGTTACAGTAACAAATCAGAGTGGACTTAAAGATGGAACCGCAAGTAACAGCACAAATGCAGAGGGTAATGACAACTTGAAATACTGCTACTTAGAAATAACTACTGTTTTTTGTAAATGTGTAATATTTCTAACTGATTAAAGTTATGCTTTCCCTTTTAGAGTATAGCTTGTGCATTTCCTAACACACATATATAGTTAGCATGCATGCATGACTGCATATCCATCCCTAAGCCTTCCTTTTAGTAGCAAGACCAAATGTGAGCGTATTTTAGCCTCTATCTTGTTCAGTTATCTATGAAACTGCCCCGAGACCCCTCTTACATATGATATTTTTTTTTAACCAAAACCTCTTTGAAAAGATCAGTAGTTACAGTCTTGTAAATAGTCTAGAGAAAGATAATCAGTTTGAAAACAAAGTTCTGTCTCTAACTGCTCGTAGTCCCAGATGAAACCTCACTGTACTACTTAAATCTATCTCTGGTTTACACATTCAAGTAGGGCAGCCTGTGAATTCTGGCAGTCCAGCTAGTCAGTTGTAGATTTTGCTAATGTTAGATACATCAAAATGGTCCAAAATGAGTCTGCAATCTTAGAACAGTAGGACAGGCTCTGTTGTTTGTTTGGTTTTGGTTTTTTTTTCCTTCCTCAGGAAAGTAGCAGTAAAATTAGTGCATGGGGAAATACATTGAAGAAAATGTAACCCATCTCTTGAACATGTACTTCTTGTCAGTGCTGTGTGGAAATAGTATCTTATCTACTCTGTATATACTTTTGTGTTTAAAAAAATAATAATAAAAATTCAGCATTTATGTCTTGGTTAGTTTAGTTTATGGTAGCATTTTCTATTAAAAATACTGAAGTATTCCAGTGTTTTTAGGAGTTCACTGATTTAAAAAAAAAAGATAGAAACAACTTTGCAGTCTGAAAAAAAAGGGTTTAGCAGCCAATAGCTAAATGACGTTGTTCCTGAGATCTATAATGAGATACAATATTTGAATGAAACACAGATCCCTAGGATATACAGTAAAACTTAAGCTGGACTAAACCTTAATCTGAATGCAGGCTGCAAATTGAAACCAAATTGTCTTTAGTTCTAGGCTATTTTTGTAAAGGATATACAAATCTCTAACATAGTGTGTGAATCTTCTGGCTCTGGTATAATTTGTTTCAGATATTATGATAATGATAGCGTTATTTAAGCTTCTAACTTTCTGTTCTTTTGTTGTACTGCAGATTTAATTTGACAGCTATAAAAGTTTTCTGCCAGGTGGGTAGTGTTTCTGTTTCTTTCTATGATCCTCTTTCATTATACCTTTACAATTTTTTTTTCTGTAACACCCTAGTCCTTATCAAATCTCAATTCCTTCTCTTTAAAGGCTTTCTAAAGCAATATTCTTCTAATTGAGGAAAACTGTGAACAACACAAAAAAATCATGTTCCTCTAAAATATGTGTTTACTTGGGGGCTATTGATAGCTGTTTGTCTGTGCTTCTGTAACTGACTGTGCTTCTGTTCATTAGTATCCACGGGTTCTTTGCCATGTGAGGTAGTCAGTAAACTGAGTAAATGAAAGCAAAATAAATGTCATTTACAAGGACGGATACCAACCCAATGGTAATAGATTAAAGAATCAAGGTCATGACAACTTTTTCATGTACTGGCAAATGTAATATTCTGAAATTGGCCTTCAGTAATAAAAAGTCTGCATTTATAATGTTGGCAAAATGTTCTTGTTATTGGGCTGTACTGATCTGTGTGTCAGTTAAACTGAGTTGACTCTAGAACCAGCTCAGGCTTTGACCAAGGGTCTGTAAAATACTATGGGGATTTTTATGTTGTAGCACAGCACCAATTAATAGTGGCCAGTGTGTACGAGTGTGTGTTCACATTTTGGAATGGAGGGAATTTTTCAATGCTTCTTGAACACAGAAATATAGACTAGTTAGTGTTGGAAAGGACCTTTAAGGCCAAGTTCCAACCTCCCTGCCATGGGCAGGGACACTGCACACTACACCATGCCCCCCAAGGCTCTGTTCAACCTGGCCTTGAACACTGTCAGGGATGGAGCATTCGCAGCTTCCTTGGGCAACCCATTCCAGTGCCTCACCACCCTTAGAATAAAGAATTTCCTCCTTACATCCAATCTAAACTTCCCCTGTTTAATTTTTAACCTGTTACCCCTTGTCCTATCACTACAGTCCCTAACAATTAGTCCCTCCCTGGCATCCCTACTGCCCCCCCTCAGAGACTGGAAGGCTGCTATGAGGTCTCCACGCAGCCTTCTCCAGGCTGAACAGCCCCAACTTTCTCAGCCTATCTTTATACAGGAGGTGCTCCAGTCCCCCTGGTCATCCTTGTGGCCCCTCCTCTGGACTTGTTCCAACAGTTCCATGTCCTTTTTATGTTGAGGACACCAGAACTGCGCACAATACTCCAAGTGAAGTCTCATGAGAGTAGAGTAGAGAGGCAGGATCACCTCCTTCAACCTGCTGGTCACGCTCCTTTTGATGCAGCCCAGGATACAGTTGGCTTTCTGGGCTGCGAGTGCACACTGAAGCCGGCTCATGTTCATTTTCTCATCAACCAACACCCCCAAGTCTTTCTCCTCAGGGCTGCTCTGAATCTCTTCTCTGCCCAGCCTTTGCCTGGGATTGCTCCGACCCAGGTGTAGGACCTTGCACTTGGCATGGTTAAACTTCACGAGGTTGGCATCAGCCCACCTCACAAGTGTGTCAAGGTCCCTCTGGATGGCATTCCTTCCCTCCAGCGTATCAGCCGAACCACACAGCTTGGTGTCATTGGCAAACTTGCTGAGGGCGCACTCAATCCCACTGTCCATGTCACTGACAAAAACGTTAAACAAGACTGGTCCCAGCATCGATCCCTGAGGGACACCACTCGTTACTGGTCTCCACCTGGACACGAACCATTGACCACAACTGTTTGTGTGCGGCCATCCAGCCAGTTCTTTATCCACCGAGTGCTCCATCCATCAAATTGATGTTTCTCCAATTTAGAGAAAAGGGTGTCACGTGGGACGGTGTTGATCGCATTGTACAAGCCCCGGTAGATGATGTCAGCTGCTCTGCCCCTGTCCATCAGTTCTGTAGCCCCATCATAGAAGGCCACCAAATTGGTCAGGCAGGATTTCCCCTTAGCGAAGCCATGCTGGCTGTCACCAAGCACCTTGTTGTTTTTTGTGTGCCTTAGCATACCTTCCAGGAGAATCTACCCCAAGATTTTGCCAAGCACAGAGGTGAGAGTGACTGGTCTGTAGTTCTCTGGGTCACCCATTTTCCCCTTCTTGAAAATGGGGTTATATTTCCCTTTTTCCAGTCTTCGGGAACTTCACCTGACTGCCATGATTTTTCAAATATGCTGGACAGTGGCTTAGCAGCTTCATTCGCCAGCTCCTTCAGGACCCGCGGATGGATTTCCTCTTGATCAGGCGGTCTGTAACAGATCCCCCCAGTAATTTCTCCCATCTCTGGTCTCCCTTTAACCTTGACCCATAAACCCTCTGTTGACTGATCACCTGTCCCCAGAATTCTATACTTTTCAGCCTATCCCTAACATAAAGGGCAACTCCCCCTCCCCGTCTGCCAGGCCTGTCTTTTCTAAAGAGCCTGTAACCTTCCATCCCAACACTCCAGTCATAGGAGCCATTCCACCACGTTTCTGTGATGCCTGTTATATCACACCCTCGTAGACGTGCACACACCTCTAATTCCTCTTGTTTATTCCCCATACTAAAGGCATTTGTTTAGGGACATCTGAGATGAGCTCCAAATGAAGCCGGCTCATTTGCTGGAGCAGCTGAAATATATCTACATTGCTCTAAGCATTTATTATAGGTGCTGACAGCTGACTGGGTGTGTTGGGATGGAATGATGCCCCCCTCCCCAACACATCTAGTTTAAAGCATCCTTGACGAGCCTGGCAAGCCTCCTACCAAAACTGCTCCTCCCAGACCAGCTCCACCAGCTTCCAGTAGACCTGGCCTCCCAAGTTGCCTCCCATGTTCTAGATACCCAAAATCCTGACTATGGCACCACTGTTCTAACCATTTATTAACCTGGCAAATCTGCCTAGCCTTTTTAAGGTCCTCCTTTTATTGGTATCCCAGGGAGGAGTTTGTTCAGTAATTAACAATAGCTGTTTTTCTTATGTAGATCAAAGAGGGAGAATTACTGCTGGTCTAAAAGAGATTTGGAAACAAGTTAAAGTGTTCTACAAGGTTGCTCAGGATGACACCTCATGGGGATTTGAAGAAATCTGGAAAAAAAATAACATCATGGCTACCCAATTTCTCCTGGTTAAAACAACTGCTCATAAGTGTGTTAATGATAATAGCTGTAGTCTTGATCACATGTATCTCTATTCAATGCTTCTTTTGGTGTTGTAAACAATCAATGATGAATTATGAAGAATGGAAGAGGAACAGATGAAACATCAAGTAGAAATGGGAAAATATGTTAGAAAGACTTTGAGTGGTAATGGAATTATATAAAATAGTTGAAAAAGAATTTGCAAAAGGAAGTAAAAACGGGGGGATTTAAGATGGACAAAGAACAGAATGAAGAGTAGCTCACTGTAAATAGAACAAACATTTTGCTTGTAACTAAGCGACCTGGACCCCAGGTAGACTCTATAACAATGATAAGGAAGAGAACTCTTCAGTTAATGTTTAGGGAAACCAGTTAGAACCAACTAAGGAGCTGGCAAATGGACAATAAGGCTGGCCAGTTCCAAAGTTCAGCCGAAGGACGAACTGATGAAGAAGAAGATGGTGAAGAAACGACCACCAGGGGTCCCAAAGACCACTACCACATTATTGTGTGCATGTGGGAGTGAGTATGTATGTTTGATGATTATATAATCATGGCTTGTTTGGTGCTGGAGTGAGACGT